TTGGCCCCCACTCTCTTCTGGCTTGTAAGGTTTCTGCCGAGAGATCTGCTGTGAGTCTGATTGGCCTCCCTCTTTGGGTGACCTGACCTTTCTCTCTGGCTGCCCTTGGCATTTTTTCCTTCATTTCAAAACTGGTGAATCTGACGGTTATGTGCCTTGGGGTTGCTGTTCTTGAGGAATATCTTTGTGGAGTTCTCTGTATTTCTTGAATTTGAAGTTTGGACTGCCTTGCTAGGCTTGAGAATTTCTCCTGGATAATATCCTGGAGCGTGTTTTCCAGCTTGGATTTATTCTCCTTATCATATTCAGGTACACCGATTAAGTGTAGATTAGGTCTTTTCTCATAATCCCATATTTCTTGGAGGTTTTATTCATTTCTTTTCACTCTTTTTTCTCTTGTGTTGCCTTTTCTTTTTATTTCATTGAGTTGATCTTCATTCTCTCATAGCCTTTCTTCCACTTGATCGATTTGGCTATTAATACTTGTGTTTGCTTCCCGTAGTTCTCGTGCTGTGTTTTTCAACTCCATCAAGTTGTTTATATTCTTCTCTAAGCTGGTTATTCTAGTTAGCATTTCATCTAACCTTTTTTCAAGGTGTTTGGTTTCTTTGCATTGAGTTAGAACGTGTTCCTTTAGCTCAGAAAAGTTTATGATCCACCTTGTGAAGCCTGTTTCTGTCAATTCATCACACTCCTCAGTCCAGTTGTGATCCTTTGTTGTTGAGGAGTTGTGAGCCCTTGAAAGAAAGAGGTGTTCTCATCTTTGATGGTTTCATCATTTTTTTGCTGTTTTTTTCCTATCTTTGTGGATTTTCCTGGCTGTGGCGTCAGGGAGCTGCTTGGTGAGGTCGCTTGTCTGCCTTTGGAGGCACTACTGGGTTTCTAGGGACTCCTTCAGGTTACTAGGGAGGCTTCCTGTGTCTTTTTTGTTTTTGCTGGGAGATTAGGCCAGCCTCTTCTGTTGACCCGTAGGCGCTGCTGGGTTGTCAAGAATACGGTCCTGTTGCTACGCAGGTTTCACGTGTTTTTTGTTAAAACATGTAGCCTGGTCCCACCCCTCTAGTGGTGGGCTGTGCCCTTCCTTCACTGGGCTGGATCATTCAGGGTTCATCTCAGACTATGGCACTGGCTGTGCAACCCACTAGATTACAGCTTCAGCACTCTGGGGTTTGTGGGAAAGGGTAGGCACCCACCCAGCTTCTTCTCTCTCCAGTCATCAGGTAGGGGTCCACCTGATCCATTTTCTTATGGCTCATACTTTTGGTGTCATGTCTAAGAAATATTTGTCTAATCAATGGTCACACAAGTTCTTCTCCTATGTTTTCTTTTTCAATTTTATGTTTTTACATTTTAAATTAATATTTTCATGGTATAAGTTATGGATTGGAGTTGTTTTTCCCCCCACACAGATATTCAGTTGTTCTAGTAATACTTACTGAAAAACTATTCTTTCTCTACTAAACAGCCTTTGCATATTTGCTAGAAATCAGTTGTCCATATATGTGTGAGTTTATTTCCAGATTTTCAGTTTTGTTCCTTTGTCTGTCTTTAATCAATAACACTCAGTCTTGGTTATTATAACCGTACAATAAATTTTAAAATCCCATTTTGTTAATTCTCTTTTTTCGTTATTAAAGTATTTTTGGCTATTATACATACCTTTTATATCTATATGGATTTTAGAATCAACTTGTCAATTTCTACTAGACGAAGTAAGTTTTATTTACTATTGCATATCAATATAGATTCAATGCAATAGTAAGTAAATAAAAGATACAAAACTATTATTTTGAATGTATACTAATATGCAATAGTAAGTAAATACATTTGCTACTGCAGTGAATCTATATTGATATGAGGAAGAATTGTCATATTAATATCATATTGAGTCTACTAACTCTTAATAAATAATGGAATTTCTCTTCATTTGGGCATCCCTTAATTTCTTAGTAATATACAGTAGTTTTTTGCTTAGTAGTCTTTCACATCTTTTGTCAGATTTATCACTTTTTCATATTTTTAAATTATTTTACATAAGATTAAATATCAGTTTTCTGCTGTTTTTTTGCTAGTGTATAGAAATACAGTTGACTTTTATACATTGTTCTTATATTCTACAACCTTGATAAGAAGAATGATTTGTTTTGTAGATTCTATTGGATTTTGTAGATAATCTTGTCTTCTGAAATTATAGTCTTAATTTTTCCTTCCTAATATGGATGGCTTAATTTATTCTTCTTACCTTATTGTTGTGCCTAAAACATCCAGTATAATATTAAGTAGATGAAGTAAGATCCAACATTTTTATTTATTCCTGATCTTACAGGGCAAAGTATAATCATCTTTTTACAGTTGAATTTACATTTGCCTATGCTCACATGACAGAGACCAAAAAAAAAAACCTCACACATAAATATATAAAAGAAATTATCACATTTTCTTTTCAATAATACACATCTCTGTCATAGTAATGTAGTTCTTTGAGAGTAAAGAAGCATGCTTTACTCATCTTTGTAGCCTCAGCACCTGAAAACATATCACTTGCTCAATGTATATTTGTTGTGTAATAATTGGGCTGGATATTACATTCAAATCCTCTGATTATAAATGCTCAACACATTCTCATTTCATTAAGTCATGAAATTAAAGAGAAATGAGGGGTCTCAATCTTTTGCTAATGCACTATTCTAGTATTTTTCCTTATTCAATATATTCTTCAGCTACAGTACAGTCTATTAAGCAAACATATTCATGTCACAGAAAAGAAACTAAAACATAATAGTCTAATAAAAAGCAAAATACATATTTCTATTAAAGTCATATGGAAACTGATGATAACATATTTTAAAATACTTGATATTGTTTTAAAAGTCACTGATAAGTATTTTATTTTGTAGTAACTCTAACAACCAATTACAGAAAACTTCCTGTGTCATTTTTGAGGGATCTGATTATTCTTACAGCCCCTAGCTGCATTCCTTCTGTACCCCTGGTATCTGCATCACCTATCATATCCTCAAGTCTTCCTTTTTATACATTTATACCTGTTACATTTCCTGATCAGGTTCTCCTCCTTTATCATATTATTCCACTAAATTCTTTCTGAAATGTACTTTCAAAATCAGTTAGATAAAGAGTATTCCTCCAATCTGGGACATGTGTGATAAAAGTAAGAGGAATCCATTGGCAGAAAATCAAGCTTAACAGGTAGGGAGAAAAGAGGTGAATTTGAATCTTAGGAAGACAAGAGAAAAGGGAGAAATAGAATCCCATGTAGTAGCAGTATTTCTGTGTTGATTTTATTTCTTATGTAACCACAGCATAGCACCCAAAGAATATTAGTTAATGAATGAATTATCTCATTATTACATCTAAGAATAGAAGCAAATTGTTTTTAAACTTTTGAATATACTGATTTTCTTTTGTTTTCTTTTTCTTTTCTATTTTCACTGTGAGCACTATACCAGGTAATAATTTTGGGTTCTCAAATGTCCTCAAAACTTTTGCAAAGATTTACAGGACCTGAAGGCAAGAAGATATTCCTGAGTTTGGTTTGGCAAGTTTCATGACAATATGAGCATATAAGCAAATGCAAAAATAATAAAATTCTGTTAACTAAGGTTTGTCTCAGACATCTGGCTATAAGGAAAGTTTGCGGGCAAAATAATAATATAACTAGGCCATCCTAGTGATTTTAAAATAATTTATCCAAGATCCACTGAATTCTATAGTAGAGAAATTCAGGGTAACTCATTCTCAAATTTTAACATTTTCTTACACGACATCACACATATTTATATTATGAAAATGAAAAACTTTACTTTTGAAATGAGAAATTAAAAGGCATAATGTTTAAGCTTCATAGATACATATATGTAAACTCTAATAATTTTATTGTACAAATATTTTGGGCAAAATGATGGAATATTTCAAATATTTTACACTGAAGCTGGGCGTGGTGACTCACACCTGTAATCCCAACACTTTGGGAGGCACAGGCGGGTGGATAGTTTGAGCCCACTAATTTGACACCACCCTGGGCAACATGGCAAAACCACATCTCTACAAAAAATAAAAAATAAAAAATTAGCCAGGTGTGGTGTTGGGCACCTGTGGTCCCAGCCTCTAGGAAGGCTAAGGTGGGAGGATCCCTGAGCCCTGGAGGTCTAGGCTGCAGTGAGCCCTGATTGCGCCACTGTACCACTCAAGCCTGGGTGATGGAGTGAGACTCCGTCTCAAAACAGTAACAACAACAAACACATACAAATAGTTTACACTGAATTCTAGTAGAAAAAAAGCAATAGTATTATGTATAATTTGAGAAAACCACTATGTTAGTGCTTATCAATTTCTTAGCATGAAAGCATGCTTATGTGTCCATATTAAAATTTTAAAATATAACAACATATTATTTAAACTATTATTAAACATTTCCTAATAACCTATTTGTAAGGATTTATTCCTTAATTTTTTTTTTACTTGGAAGGCCATTTATTAAATGAATTAGCTTTATTCAAACTGATTTATCAAACAATAATGTCAGTAGAAATAGTCATGCTACTTGCAGAATTATCCAAATTCCTTTGATCACAGTTCATTCTTAACATTTTCTGAGAACAATCTCAGGTAGTAGTTGCAAATTCAGATTACATAAATACTTCCAGTTTTAGTTCAAAAACACAAAGTGATTTTATAGAGCAACATTTTATTAATCAATAAAACCCTTCTTTATTTCAACAGTTTAAAGCCCTAATGTATTTTTTACTGCAAATAAAAACATTATTTTTGAAAATAAAAATTATCTATAATTTTCCATTTAACAGTAAATATTGCATGCAATAGGACTCTGTCAAATCTTCTAAATATATATTAAGATGACGAATTGATCAGTAATTTGCATCACTTAGCAAAAATGATTTGACAGTAAATTACTGTGTCTGGTATGTGCATGCTACAGCATAGTATGTTCAGCATCAAAAAATAAAATAAAATGCAATTACCCTAAAAGACATTTCAAGATTCTCTCCACCCCAGATATCCATTCCTGCATCGTAAGTTCCTATCTCTTCAAAGTAGTTTCTGTCAATAGAAAATAGGCCACCAGCCATAGTAGGGGTCCTAGTTGAAAAAAAAAAAACAAAAAGAAAAGAATATCTTTTGAAAACAATGTGTGGAGTTTAATGAGACTATAGCACATATTTTTGAGACATTCTAAATATTAAAAATAATCTCAAACTAGAAACAAAGTCCAGGTATAAGAAGTTTTAAAATTAATAGATAGCATTTTTTTTTTTTTTTTTTTTTACATTTTCTGTAAAACTCAAATTAGTTTTTGTTTTTCTTATGGGTGATCAAATAGATACACGGAAGTAACACTGGCCATGGAAGACTGGGACTTCTATATTCCCTCTGAAAAGCATAGTGAAGACAGGTTTCTGCCCTTTGCACTGTCCTTAAAGTGGTTAGCTGGTCATGAAACTACCAGTTGTGAACTTAGGTTACATAACTATAAATCATTTTTATATAAACTCTAGAAACCTGTGGACATGGTTTCACTTTGAAAAGATCCATAACCTGTTTAAATATGACAAAGGCACTATAAAACATTTGTAAGAAATAAGTATCTAGTGATAGTCACAAAGGTTTTTTTTTTTATCATAAGAACTTTACATCTAATTGTTTATTCTCTCTTTACTAATTAAAATAATAGAATTAGTCATCTAATTCTATGGAATTTATGTTTGGAAGGACATTTGGAAGGGATTCTAAAACTTTTTCCTAAGAATAAATGCCTTTTGGTCTCATTCAAAATTCCTCTATAGGAGCTGAGTAGTCTGATGCTAAGTTTTTAAAGGATAAATTACAGTAATTGTTAATTTAAAAGAAGAATTACAGAAAATGTTAATGAGTAAGCTACACAAGTCTTTCTATATATAAGCAGTATAAATTTAAGGGTTAAAAAGAAGATTGTAGTTTATCACAAATAGATCCATACTGGCAATGATGACTTTTGAATGTTAGTTGTAATATAGTGGTTTGCAACCTTAAAAGCACAATAGCAGCACTTGAGTCACCTTTCAAAAAAAGATGGGCATGCTTCAGTACCAGCCTCCACAGATTTAGATTTAATTGGCTTGGGGTGGTGCCTGACTTTGGTATTATGTAGTTTCTATGTAATTCTAATGTACTGCCAAGGGTGAGAAACTGCTATAGAAACTTACTGAAATACTCATCTAAATAGTCTGTGAGGCTATTAAAAACCCAGTGTTTTGCTTTTGTCAAAATTGTGTTCTCTGCCAAAGGTTATGCTCATGTTTTAATTAAACAGAATTGTTCATTGAAAAACCACCAAATAATATTGTACTTGGACGTCTACCATATTGCAAAGTTCTCTGTTTCTCCCAGTGCTCTCGCTGTTTTATGCTCAGGTAATTAACTGTCCATCAGTTGGAGTAGCAGAGCCTTGCTTAGTCTCAGAGCTATTTTATTACTTTTTGTCTTGCTGAGTTCCTATCATGAACAGTATCATTGACCTTCTGAGTTATAATGAGAAACACTAACAAAGCTAAACAGATGGTAATTAGGAAGTAGCCATGACCCTCACCTGATAGGGGTTTTGGAACTCTATGGCAGTAACTATATTAGGTATTACAGTGCTGGAGAGTCTATTTGATAAAATGAGGAACCAAAATTGCTGCAATTATCCTATCATAATGCAACCAAATGCTTAAGACTGATAAGTGATGCATTTTTAATGATCAGTTCAGAATGCCTATCTACTTATCTACTTACTGATAAAGTACTGGCACATTTTAATTTAAATAACATGTATTGAATTTCATCTTACAGTTGGTCATCATTCTTATATGTGAGAAATGTATAAGTGGCTAATAATAAATTATGCTTAATAGTTTATTTTTTATACTATTGAGAATGACTCAAATAACTTTTACTTGTGCTTGAAAATAATAAAAATAATAAGATAAAATTACAATTCTTCAAGTAATTCCCGTATTTTCTGAAGACAGATACTCCTGGACAGGTTGTGTGTGTTTGCAATATCAGTTAGCTCTCTCAGGTTGGAGACTGTGCCTTATAGTATTTAATATCTATCGCCATAGCCAATGTTATGCAATACATTCTGTTCTAAGTTAACTACTCTATAATATGCTTAATAAAATATTTACACATGCCCATGTGTACCTTAAGTATTCAGAGCATCTAGAATATGAAAAACCTTGATTATAGTGAAATTAGCTGAAATTATTTGCTTTTCAAGATTGTGTCTATACAAGGTCAAATCAAACAACCAATTTAATCAATTGAACCTGAGGGGAATAGTCAGCTCAGTGACTGTGAACACTACCCACCACACATAGTAAGTAGGAAAGATGAACTGAGTTAACAGAAGTAAAGCACTTAACACAGTATCCAACACATAATCAATAGTTAATAAGGTTAGATAATATATCTTTTTTGTTGTTATTGATGTTAATCATTTAAGCAAAATCCTTGCTGTCCTTCACTTAATTTGGGCTCCTCTCTCTACATATACCCTCACTTTAGGTTTCAAAACCATTTGGAACTACCTCATATTTAAGATGTGGACTGAAATCTGTCTCAGAGTACAACTTTTTACTCTTTAACCCCTCCCATTTTCATAGGAAGTCACTTTTTATCCTTCATTGGTGATTCTGGTTCCTTAATCTATCATCTCACATTAATAACACCCATCAGGAATTCCTTCTTCCCTTCTCACAACCCATTTCCAGGGCTCTGTCATGTCAGCAAAACACTGGCTTAGGAACCTTAGTTCTCTGTGCTTTTCTGCAATTTCCAATTCTCTCTCTCTCTCTTTTTTCTTTAATGTTGGTGGTTGGGTGAATTTACTTTTCACTTCATTTACTTCTGCTATTAAGGCACTGGAAAAGTAGTAAGATGTGGTTAACTGGTTATAGGACAAGTCTACATTATTGATTCTCTGCTTAATTCACAAACTGCTGTTTATTTGTTCACAAATTTAATTCACAAACTGCTATCTGTTTATTTGTTCACCTGTCTTATTGTTAACTCTTTTTTTTTTTTTTTTTTTTTTGAGACAGGGTCTCACTCTGACGCCCAGGCTAGAGTAGCGCAGTGGTGCAATCACAGCTCCCTGCAGCCTCAACTTCCCAGGCTCAGGTGATTCTCCCACCTCAGCCTCCAGAGTAGCCGGGACTATAGGCTTGCACTACCATACTGAGCTATCTTTTGGTATTTGTTATAGAGACAGGGTTTTGCTATGTTGCTTAGGCTCGTCTTGAACTCCTGAGCTCAAATGACCTGCCTACTCGACCTCACAAAATGCTGGGATTACAGGTGTTAGTCACCACATCTGGCCTGAGTCTTTTCCAAAAGTTTCAGACTCCTCTCAACAGCAAGGGGATCAAGGCAATGCATGACATCTAAATTCTCTCAATCATGAAATCTAAACTCCTTCAATCTCTAGCTCAATGTGTTTAAAAATGTGTCTTCCTTATGGCCTCGTCTTTCCTCTTGACTCATAGAAAATAATATCTCTTTTCCTCTTATTGTGGGCCAGCATTCGCCCTTGTTGTCTCAACAAGCTCTCTCCTGACTACTCTTTCAGGCCCTTGCTCATTGACTATTAACATTTATGTTTTATGCCTTTGATTTCTAGATTGTTCTCTTGAGCTTAAAACCTGCGAACAAAGTTCTATCCTAAACCAGAAAAAAATTTTCATTCCATCTTACTACTCTTTTAAACTAGGGACATATATTTCCTATTCCCTTCACTGGTAACCTTCTTGAAAGGTTACTTTCTACAGACTCCCTTAACAACTTTTGACCTTCTAACTAGAAGGTAGATCCTGCTCCCACTTCTACAATAACTTCTTTCTGAAAGGTCCCCATTGATTCTGAACTCCAATAATCTGTCCTTAACTTTTCCTTTGAAACCATATAGCACAATTCATCAGCCTTCTGCTTGAAATTATTTTCGTTTCTAGCTCCCATTGCATTGTTCTGTAGAGGTTTTCCTTCTGTGAATTTGACTTAATTTTATGATCCTTATTGATAAACCCTTTCCTCTCCTTTTTCCTTGCTATCAGAATTTGGATAAGCTCTTAGTTTCACATCTGTCATGTAAATGCAATTTGCCATTATAATATTATTTTGTGGATATACACATTTAGTAATTTTTTTCTTTCATCTGAAATGTATCCTCCTAAGGGTCTCTCAGGGGCACTTTTCTCTTTCTCTCAGGGCTCTTTGCCTGGGTATGATAAGATCATTCATCACATACCTTTCTATGGTTGACTCCTAATCTGTGTTTTCATACCTGTTTTCTCTGCATAAGTTGTGCTTTTGCAGTTCCTCACTAGATGTTTCCTTTAAAAAATTCCTTTGACTCTGTTCAGTGTGTATACCATAGACCTGAGAATTTGGTATTCATCTGCTTGTCTTCTAATGTCTTTTATTTCCTTCCAGTCTCTTAATATAAAATTAAAAAAAAAACACTTTTTTGGTGCATAATTTAATTATTTCCAAAATACTTCTACCTTTTTTTCTGAAGTACTTTTGACTCATCTCTGTTATCAGTGACTCTACTTTTAGTCTTCTATGTCTAACTGTCTTCGATGTTTGGTAATAATGAGATCCTCTTAGATGCTAAGATGCTTGGATGCTAAGAGGATCTGGATGGCTCTAGATTCTTCTGCTTCTGAAATTTATCCTAGAAACCATAGCCAGATTAATTTCTCTAAATCATTGCTTCTCTAAAAATGTAAACCAGATGTTCAAAAATCTATGTTAAGGAAACAAATTCTAGCTTCTTATTCTGGCATCAGTAATCTGGCATCACCCAATGAGCTTCTCCCAACCCTTTTTAACTATTTCTCTGCAGTAAAGTGTTCAGCTGTTACTGGTAGATGTTTTACATTTTTGTACCTTGGTACATTTGTTCACATCCATTAGTCACCTGGATTTTTCTTTGAAAACTCCCCTGTATATTCAAACTTGGTTATTCTTAGGCTAATACAAATCTTATATATTCTAGGCAGCCTGCCTTCAACACCAATGCCGTCTCCCTGCTCCCTCAATCAAGACATATTCTTCCC